ATAACATAATGAGCCATAATATATATATATATATATATATTTTTTTTTTCAGAGAGAAAGAGTACTGAAAATAAAATGAGAAAATTATTTATAAGTCCTATTAGGGAGGCTTATGCTACATATGGTCCTACTAAAAAAGTTATGTTCACATAAGTCCTGTGGGAAGTTTGTTGAGACATTTACCATCAATATTAGTTGTTAATATCATAAATAATAGTAAAATCATGTATAGGAAATTAAATGTTACCATAGATCATATCTATATAAACATAACGTAATGTGAAACCTATATAAATGTAACGTGACACCTACATAAACGTAACATGACACATATGATCTATGGTAACATGTAATTTTCTATACATAAACGTAACGTAACGTGACACCTATGATCTATGGCAACATTCAATTTCATATATAGGAAATTGAATGTTACCATAAATCATATTTATATTAAACGTTACGTAACACCAATATAAACCAGCAACATTTTCACATTCAATTTAAAAAAATAAAAACTCATTAAGTTTGCGAAACGTAACGTGACACATTACGTTATGTTTATGTAGGTATCACGTTACGTTACGTTTATTTAGATGTCACGTTACGTTATGTTACGTTTATGTAAGTGTCACGTCACGTTACGTTTATGTAGGATCTTGTGGAATTGTTGACTACATATTTTGTACAAGCCAATTATAATTCGACGCATGGAAGAATAAGGGTAATACAAGAAGACTATTCAAGTCTTCGATCATGATCGTGCACGTGGCAGATAGTATTGGTTATTACGAGATCTGAGTAGCAGTGGATCAACAAAGAGATGTAAGGTGATGTGGCTTCAACGGTTACTCACATTTGAATTCAAATTTAAGAATGAAGCCTAACTGCAAGTGATGGCACAGTGGAGCTAATTATAAGGCAACATGATCAGCGATCATGGAGGAGTAGTTCGACGGTTGGAAATATAGTTCGATGGTCATCCTTGAGAAGTATAAATAGCAGAGAAGGCCAAGAACAAGGACCCCAGACTTAGATCCAAAAAACCAGTCTTATTATATTTATTATTTTCTTTTCCAGTTTCTACATTTCCAGTCTTACATTTCTTGTTCTTTACATTCCTGTATTTTAAATTCTTGCATTGTACTTCGTTCATAGGAGTAGTTTTAAGTAGATTGTTGCTGTAAATCTCTACGAGGCTGAGTTTGGATCATTGTAAGTTTTTCATTTTAATGAAATGCTTCAACTGTTCTTCATTTAATTGTCATTTTGCTTAATTCTCCTAAATCAAACCACCAGTAAAAAGTCATCTTGAGTGAGGCTGAAAGAACTAAAACACAATCGTCTGATAATTGGTTGGCAATTAATTTTCTGTAAGGACTGATTGATCCTTGCTAGCACGCTCGCAATTACAATAATAACCTTCGAAAGCCAAAAAGCCAACATATATTTTTGGCACGCCCAGTGGGACTAATTGAAATGGCTAGACGTAGGAGACAAGGAGAAAATGAACGCTTGGAAGAAGGTGTGAAAGGAGGGTTAGAAGTGCCCAATCCAGAGGATAATGTGATAACACATCCTGTGGAAGCACCTAGTTCATCAGAACCTATGGTCGAACAGACCAGCACTTCGTAACAACTACCACATGTCCAGAATATTAGATAAGGTCAAGGAATTGGACCATCCACTGTTCCATCTACTTAGCCAATGAATCCATGGAGTGGCCTAGTAGATGCTATGGGACAACAGTTAATGAGCACAATGGAAAGATTGGCAATATCCTTTTTGGATCAAATGAATACCCACCCACCAACCAACAAACACAAGACACATGGAGGAAATTTCAAATGTCCCTTAGCAAAGATTGGCTAAAGATAAACAGCTTATGCAAATTAATGGACATTTTAGTGGTCAAACTAGTAATCAAAACTATGAAACACTATCACCCCAGTCTTGGTATGAACCTATTTCGAGGCCTATGGTAGGTCAAAATGCATCAGTACTTAGCAGTGAAGCCATGCAAGTTGGTGGATCGGGCCTAGTACGAGAAAATGACATAAGATTGGTCCCAAACTCCATGTTCGAAACCATACCTGGCACAAGGGGATTTACTAGTCCTTTATTCGAATTCATGCCTGGGAGGTTGAAAGGTTTTTCTACAAATGGAAGAGACACAACACCTGTTCCAGCACCTTTCGCAGGCCCTTTCGCAGGACAAGCTCAAAGGGGTTACCCACACCCTCAACAACCGGCACCACATGGACAACCAGTCCCAAATATACCACCCTATGGACCAAGAAGACCCCAGGCACAAGGTTGTTCACCAAACCCTGTGTTTGTTCCTCAAGTAGTGGTTCAACAGGCACAAAATATGGTCCCTAGGGACCAAATTGCTGATATTGTTAGAGAGATGTGTGGACCGATGGCTCGGGTGGTCCAGACTTCTGTGTATAGGAAACCGTACCCAGAATGGGTAGACAGGGTACATGAATACCCAAGAGGTTTCAAGATACCAGATTTTGCCCTTTTTTATGGGAATGGAAACTAGTCAACAGTGGAGCATATTGCTAAGTTTGCTGCTCAATGCGGTGAATTTACTAATAATGACTATATGAAATTAAGATTATTCCCAAATTCTCTAACTGGGAGAGCATTTGTATGGTATATTAACCTTACACCAAGCTCTATCCAAACGTGACAACAAATGGAAGAGGCATTTCATGCCCAATTCTTCCAATCGGAGCCGAGGTTTCCATGGCAGACTTGGCAAGATTGAGTCAAAGGCCTGATGAAAAGGCTACTCAGTTTATTGCCAGATTTAAAAGAGCACGAAACAAATGTAGAGTTATCCTGCCAGAGCCAAAATTCGTGAGGTTGGCTCAAAATGGCTTAGAGTTTAGGCTTCGAAAGAAGTTTGACTCAACTGAGTTCAGAGACTTAGTGGAACTAATGTATAAGGTGTCTAGGTATGAAGCATTATTAGAGGAAGAACAAGATTGAAATAATGCATCGTACAAGACATACTATAGAGATCCTAATTATGAGATTGATGCAGCAGAGATTGTGGGGAAAGAACCTGTGATCAGTGAGGCATTAATTCATAAGGATACAACAATTGACCAGTAGTTTAAAAAGAAAGACCTTTAT